CCCTCAGGGACTGTTTCCCAAGGATGCCCCCCCTGACCCCCCCCCCCTTCGCGACCCCCCTTGGCCAGTTCAGCCCTCCTCCCCCCCCCCCCCCGTCTGCTGTAGCGGCTCACCTGGTCCAGAGATGGGGGGAGGGGCATCATGTGCCCAGATGAGAAGGCAGCTCCGGGGGGGCTTTTTGATTGGCATGAGCCCTGGGAGGCCATGGGTCCAGCCCCTTCTTGGCAGCCCCGTTACCCACCCACCCCCACCTCTGCCGCCCCACTCCAGGCCTCATTGCTGGCTCCCTCAATGAGCTCTTCCCCCTCAGGGACTGTTTCCCAAGGATGCCCCCCCTGCCCCCCCCACCCTTGGTGGCTGCTCATGGCCAGTTCAGCCTTCCCTTCCCCCCCCCCAAGGAGATCCAGCTGCACATCCCTGCCTGGATCTGCCTCACCTCTGCAAAGCCAGCCTGGGGGGGCGGGAGGGGTCCATCTTTGGCATCTTCTCTGACCCCTGACCTCTGCCAATGCTGCCCTGACCACCACAGCCTCCCCAGGCTGGGCATCTACCCTCCTGAATCCTGACTCTCCCCCCCCCCCCGCAGCCCAAGAGAGGCCTCTGGGGGTTTGGCTCCCCCTCCCCGGCCCTTTTAGCCCAGCAGGGATGGCCTGTCCAGACTTCCTCAGCTGACCACAGGCTCTCAGGCCACTCACGGTCTTCAGGTGCTCCAGGCCGGAGTGTTGCCGGTAAAGAATGTAATCGATGCGCCGCCCTTCAGACCCGGTTGCGGAGAAGTTGGCGCTGCCATGGGGCTGGAGGGGGCCTGCCAAATACTTCCTGCGCTCCTCTGGATTCTCCAGAGTTCTGGAAGGCAACAGGGAGTCCAAGAAATGAATAGAATTTGGGCTCATCTAGTTCAATCTGCTGCAGGATGGTGGAGGATCTGGTGGCTGCTTGAAGACAAGGAGAACTCACCACTTCATGTGGCAGGCTGTTCCATTGGCGAATGGCTCCTATGACGGGGAGGTGCCTTCTCTTCTCTAACCTAACCCCCTTGTGGTTCCTGCTCACTGGCAAAGGTCCTGCCTCTCGGGGCAGTGGCATAGACGTGGGGCGGCTCCCCAGGTAGTTGAAGGCTGCGACCCACATCTTTCCTTGTCCCAGAGGTTAAGACTCCCCCTGCCCCCCACCCCCACCCTCTGCCCTGGACTTGGGCCTCCCACGTCTTCCACCCGGAGGCAGACCAAGGGGTCTCCCATTCCGGCTGCCCCTGGAGAGCTCAGACCCCCTCCTCCCCCTCTAAGGCTTGGCCAGTCTTCCCCCAGGACAGAGGCGGCCCCTGCCAGCCTCCAGCAGGCTCCACCCAGGGCTCAACCAGCCTCCCCCCTTGGGCTGCACAACAGGCAGGGAAGGTTTGCTTCAGGCTTCCATCAGACATGGGAGATGGCGGGGGGGGGGGGTCTTGCCTTAGGCAGCCAGGTCCACGGATGGCCCTTGGGACCCTCGGCCTCTCTCGACCCCAGAAAGCCACCGTGGAGATCCTGCCGAGGAAACCGAGGGTCTCCACCAGGCGGTTGCCAGGATTTGAGGTTGATTGGAGGGGGAGCAGGGAGGCAGACCACGATTGGCTGCTCTCAGATCGGTCTTCCATCCCCCCTCCCGCCAGAAAGGAGGCGACCCGGAAGGTCTTTCAAGGGACCCCCTATTTCTGCCCCCAGAGCCCTCACCTCTTCAGGTTCTCTGGGGTGGCCACGGCTTCATCGTAGATGTACACCGAATTCAACAGCGTCCCTGTGAAGGGCAGGAGGGTCCCACTGGCCTTTCGTCCACAACGGGGCCCTTCCCTCCCTCCCTCCCTTCCTCCCCCCCTTCCTCCCTCCCTCCCTCCATGCCCAACCCCTCCCCCCCAGTCACCCCCTGGGCAAGAGGGAAGAGACCAGCCGGCCCAGACCTTCTGCCCAGATCCCAGAGGCCACTGGGCTGGGGGCCACCCACCGATGGCCCAGGGCTTATCCTGGCGAGGACCAAGGCGGCAGGGGTCGGTGTAGTGGCTGAAGATCTCGTGGCCTTGCTCCATCGCGTCACCTGAGGAGAAAGAGGGGCCTGAGACAGCCAAGCAAGGCGAGACCCCCCCCCCTACTCCAGGCTCTGCATCTCCCTCCAGGACACCCACCTGGAGAGCAGCTGTCGAAATTGAGGTCCCCACAGAAGATGTCGAAGGCCACCACGTCCCCCGGCTGCGCATGCCTGTCTTGGAAGAGCTGCGCCCAGTGCAGGGAGTGGCTCAGCTGCTCGTACCGGATGGGCCCGTCGGCTGTGGGGAGGAGGGGGCAGCCGCATCAGCCTCAGGGGGGGGGCAGGGGGCTCCCCTGTGCGCTCTTCTCCCAGCGCATGGGCACCCCCAGAATGGGTGCAGGGAGTCCCCTGGCTGGGGAGACTCAGACCAAGAGAGCCCTAAGGCAGACGCCCCCCCCCTCGTGGCCCCCTCTCCCTCTCCTCAAGCAGGCAAGGCAGGGCAGGACGGCAAGCGGGGAGGGGACCCAGAAACGCCCCCAGCCAGGAGCCCGTTTCTCTGACCTCAAAGGCTGAGAGAAGACACTGGACGGCCATGGAGATCATCTAGTCCACCCCATCTCTGACAAGGGACCAGCCAGCCTCTATCCAGAGCCCTCCAACTGGTTGGGGGACTGCCGGGGTTCAGCACATCTGGCCTGGAGCTCTCACTTTGGACCAAATGCAGCCCCTGCGAGCCTTCGTTTCTGCCCCCCCCCACTGGTCCCACCTTGCCCCCCCTTACCTTCGGTGGCCTGCAGGTGCGTGCAGTTCAGGTATCCAACGACCCTTCGCCCTTGGCAAGCTGCCAGCTGCACCTGGGGGGCAAAGCAGGAAGGCAGTTGGGCCTCTGAGGATGGGGGCGGGAGAAGCTTCATGAGAGGTTGGGGAGCCCAGGGAGACGCCCTCCACCTCACCAGGGCCCACCAGTGGAGAGACCTTCAGGGGCCCCACCAGGCCAAGATCTGGGGGGCCCTACCCTCTGCTGTAAGCAGGTGTGAGAGAGTGGCCCCAAGGGACAAGATGGACAGTGGCCGCCAGGCAGCATTTAAGCCCACGGCCGAAGCCCCAGGGGCCCCACCCTGGCACAGGGGCCACATGGTGGCAGGGTCCCGCCCATTGGCCCCATCTGGCTCACCTGCACACACAGCAGGCCCTTCGCACTCAGGGCATCCTCGCCAGCGGCGTTGGGGTAACATTGGAACTCCACGGCCAAGAGGGGGTAGCGGCTGGCCAGGAAGAGCCCACTGTTCAGCAGCTTCAGAGCGGAGCAGCCCTGCAGGCCGTAGGTGCCCACATCATAGATGATGTGCTCGAACCGGGGGCCCAGGAACCGGCACAGCTGGGCAGAGGCCCGGGGGTCAAAGACCTCCTGCAGGCACAGGATGTCCAGGTTTGGCGGGAAGCAGACGGAGATCTCCCGGGGACTGCTGGACACCCCTGCCACGGCCCCCACGGCCCCCACCACCTCTATGAGGGGTAGCGCCACGTCGCCCCGTAGGGGGCTCAGGACACTGGCAGGGGGGCCCAGCAGCCCGTGTGGGATTGGCAGGCCGTTGGGGGCAGCAGAGGGGCCGTGGGGCGTGGAGCGTTGTGCTGCTCGCGCCAGGCTCTGTCCGATGTGCCTGGCCCGCCATTGGGTCCGCCAGAGGTTGCTGAATTTGGCCAGCCCCTCGGGGAGCAGGCAGACGTTGGCGCTGAGGAGGCCGAGGGTCCTGGCCGGGCCAGGAAGTGCCCAGTCCTCCGGAGGGGCTCGGCCGGGCGTGTGCTGGTAGGCGAAGGGCCGCCGGGCCGCCTGCAGGGGCAGCCAGAGCAGGAGCGCCAGCAGCGAAACGGGGCTGTAGAGCAGCAACAGCAGCACCAGGAGCGGTCCCCGGACGGCCACCTCCAGCCAGTGCGGCGCGCAGCCGGGCTTCTCCCCCGTGCACCGCTGCAGAGCCAGCACTTGGCTCGCTAACCAGTAGCCGGGGAACAGCAGGGCTCTCGCGGTGGTGTCCAGGCCCCCCAGGACGCGGCTGGAGTAGGGCGACTCCCGGAGGCCCATGGCAGGAGGGCGGCGGGGCGACTCCCGGCCGGGGTGCCTGGCGATGCTGCCGCGGACGCCTCCGCTGCGCTGGGCTGCCGGGCGGCGGGCAGGCGCTGCGCAAAGGGGAGAGAGAGCGAGAGGGGTGCGTGAGTTCCGCGGGCAGCCCGGGTTGCGCCTCTCGCCCGCCGCGCACTCAGAGGGGCTCTCCTGGCCTTTGGGAGGGGGAGGTCCGGGGGAGACGGAGGTCCGCAATCCCCGCGCGAGGGAGGAGCAGCGGCGGGTCCCGTCTCCTCGGGCGGAGGGGCGCAGCAAGGCGGGACGAGGGGGCTTTGGGCGACAAGGGCGGGGGAAGGCGCCAGACTGCGGCGCTCAGCGCGGCCGGTCCTTCTTCGCTCGGCTGCCGGCATCAGAAGGGCCCGGTGTCGCTTCACTCTGCTCCCTTCCTCTGGTCGACCCCGAGGGGCGGCGGGGAAGAGGCTGGAATGCTGCCAGGGGACACCTAGCCCCACCCCCACCCCGCGCTTTCTAAAGCCGGAGCTTCGGGTGCCGAAACGAGGACCCAACGGGCGGGGACCGGCAGGAGCTCCTGGGCAGCGTTGACTGGCAGGTGGCCTGGTGAAGGAACAGGGGAATCGGCTGGTTTTATTCTTAGCCTACCTTTCAGGGACGTTGTGTAGGGAAATAAAAGATTCCCCACAGATTTCTTGTTGAGTGGCGGCGGCGGCGGCGGCGGCGAAGTCAACCGCAACTTCTGTTTCTCTCGGCAGCCCTTTCAGATGTGGCTTTTCCGCCTCTCCTACAACTGAGAGTCCGGGGTCTCTCCGCCGGCTCCTGCCTAAGGCGGGGCTGGAACTCACAGTCGCCTGGCTCCGCGACCCCTTGACCGGCTGCGGTCTTTTCGTGCTGAGGGGTGGGGGCCACCTTGACTCCCGGGGACTCCCAGGGAAAGTCCTCGAGGGATCGACTTGCAAATCCTCCCAGTCTCAGCTGGGCTGGGGTCTAGGCACTGGCCTCACCCAGGACCAGAAACTTGAGTGAGAAATGCCCGGCCTCCCTGTAGCAAAGTGAAGCTGGTTTGTGTTTCCAAGGAGAGGAAAGGGTCCCAAATAGGGCGCGGAGGGAGCCCTGGGCTGGCTTTGCAAGCGCAGAGGGAAAGGAAGGGGCCCGCAGCGTCCACACCGGGGGCTCCAGGGCGACCCCGGGGCCCGCGTGGAGAAGCCCCTCTGCCCGTCCGCCTGGCCGAAGTCTTTTCCCTGCCCCTCCCCGCTCCTGTCCCCAGAGCGACCGTCAGTCCCAGAGCCGCCGCCGCCGCGCCTTCTCCCCCCTCACCTCTGCCGGTGCCTGGCCGGAGCATTCACGGGGCTCCTCCGCGTGGCCGGAGCGGTCGGGGAACTGAGGCCCCGCTGGCCTGCAGAAGCACCTGCCGGCGGTCATGTGCTCCGCATAACTGAGCTGCCCGTCACGCCTCGCCAGGATTGGGATCCACCCGCTGAGCGAGGCAGGTCGATCCGGCTCACAAATTGCCTGCGACCGGCGACTGACTAACAGGTCTTGCCTCGCTGGCTGCCCGGCCGATTATTGATTAACTTCTGCGCAGCCATAAACGCCGCTGGCCCGGGACGAAGGTCTAAGCGAGAGCTGGGAGCGAAGGAGCGAAGGAGCGAAGGAGGGAGGGAGGGAGGGGCAGAGCCAGCGGGCCATGCCCGAGGGTCACTTCCAGGAGAAAGTTTCTGCCGGGGGCGGGGGAGAAGCCGGGGAGGGCTGTGCTCCAGATGCGGGCGCGTGCGCGGGCATGCATGTTGCTCTGCCCGCTTGCCACGGGTCCAGCGGGGAAAGCCCAGGTGGAGCCTTGAGGGGGCCTCACCTCCTGCTCTGCCGCCCCCTCCGCAGGGGGTCTTTATGCTCTCACTGGTGGCTTCCATCTCCCCCCCCCTTCCCAGAAGCAGACAGTACCCCTCGCTGGGCTGCCGGGAAGATCGCGTCCCTCCGTTGCGCTTTGCATGCTAGTGTTGCTTGCCAGCTGGAGCTGCCAGGGAAGCCTTGTGGCTCCCCAAGTGTGTCCTGTGAAGTTCAAGGGTAGAATTGCCAGAGGTCCGGTGGCCTCCCCTGAAGAGCTCCTGTTCCTCACCCCTGCAAGGCCCAGGGGAGGGGAAGGCCGCCTTGTGCCCGGCCTCGGTGCCCGATTCCTCAGCGGAAGCCAGTGTGCCACCTTCCCCCGGGCATCTCATTCTCTTCATTGCTTGCACTAAAGAGGGTCATTCTCGGCCTCCTCCGGAATTCCAGCGACAAACAGGCGGAAGGATGCTGAGGCGATGCTGCCATGGCTGCCTCCCCAGGAGGTCAGCTTCCCTGGCGGTCTGGTTTAATCCTCCGGCGGAGAAAGCCGCTTCCTGCAGACCCCCTTCATCCTCCCCAGAGCCCCCCCCCCCCAAGGAAGGAGAGTGGGCAGCCACCATCTGAGGACCTCCCTCCTGCGCTGAGCAAGTCTTTTCTTGGTGCCTGATACCATCTGCTTCCCGGTCATCTTCTTCTTCCGTCTTCTGGAAGGGCATTGAACGGCCCGTCCGCTTTCCGCCCCCTGAAGAGCACAACCTGCTGCGTCTGTCCTCGGCCGAGGACACGTCGGCTCTTGTGTAACTTTCCCTCCAGGCTGGGATCATCCGGCCTCTGCTCCTTCCTCCGTGTCCTAAAGGCAGGGCCAGCCCTGTCCTCCCCCAGGCAGAAGGATTCCTTGCCCTGAGCTGCAGGGGATTGTGCTCCGCTTCCATCTGGACCCCCCCCCGGCCCCTTATGCTCTGCTGCTTGGGCCCCCTCCCCTCCCCCATATCCAAAGTCAGGACTTGGATTTTTCTCTCTCCAAAGGTGGAACTTTCCGTTTCCCGCTCTTGCAATCCTGATTTCTGCCCAATATTCCAGCTCCTAAAAGTTTCCTGAATTGTGGGACTGCCCCCTCGCCCAAAGGCCAAAGCCCCTCTTCAGAAACGCCTGGAAAAGAGCCTGCAGTGGCCACACCACACTTTGGCTGTTTTCATGTAGCCATTGTGCCCCCCGCCCCAATTAACGCACTGGCCCCCAAAGCATGGCTCCTGGAAGGGCCAATCCTGTGGCTCTTCCCCTGGAGCTGCCCGCTCCCTCCTGGTGGAAGCCAGCAGAGCCCTCAGCCTGGAGGCTGCACTGACCCCCCCCCCCGCTGTTTCCAGAGCTGGGTGGGCTGCGCCTCCCCAAATGCTGTGAGGGAGCTGACCAAGGGCCTAGCAGACCTTTCTCCCATCTTCCCCCTTGTTTTGGAGCAAAAGGTTGCTAGAATCCCTTGGTCTTTCTGCCCTTAGATTTCCCTGGAAGGGAGGGGAGGGGCTGCATGCATCTCTGCCCCCAGAAATGCAGCCTTCCTGGCACTCGGGCGCAGGGCGGCTGCTGAGGCTGCTGAGTAAGGCATCTGGGCCACTCCCTGCTTGTACAGGTGGTCCTTGACTTATCACTGGCTGCTTAATGACCGTTCAAAGTTCTGATGGACTTTTAAAGACCACAGCCTGCTCTCAGTCTTTCAGTTGCTGTCCCCTCCCCCTCCCTGGGGGTCAGGGCGGCGCATTTCCAACTGGGTGCAGCAACCCACCTTCGCCTGACTGCGACGTGTGCCCGTCCCCAGCAGAAAATGGCAAAAACAGCCCTGGGGAGAGGATGGATGTGTTTGTGGTTCCATGACCAACTGCAGTGACTCACTTCACAACCATTGTAAAAACGGCCGTAAAATCAATTCTGGTCACATGGTGTCTCAGCTTACAATTGCAGCAATTTACGACTGAAATGCTAGGCTCTGTTTTGGCCATAAGGTGAGGACCAGCTGCAGGTGAAGCCACTCCCTCTGTTCCCACAAGGAAACCCACTCCTTTCAAAAGGAGAGGCCTCTTCTCCCCACTCCTCTGTCCAAGCCCCCCCCTCCCGCCATGAACTCTCCAGAGACTTTGGCTGCCCAGGGAGAGCCGCAGAGCCTCCATGCCGCCTCCATTTCCAGGACCTTCTGCCAGGCCCTGGTGAGACCCTGGAGAGGCAGCCTCCCTGCCGAAGCCACCAGAGAGACCTGCATTCCCCAGAGGGCGCTGATAAAGGAGGGGGAACCGCTTCTTTGCCCCGGGGGGGTGGCGGTGTCATGCGCACTGACCGCAGGAACTGCCAGCCTCTGTGGCCGCATAGCTGGCAGCACAGCCCTGGGAGGCGTCATCAGCTGAGAGGCAGCAGCCAACAACAGGATCTGCCTGGCATGTGGGAAGCCTGGCACATGAGTCACTTCCCTGCCCGGCAGGGACTGGAGCTCCGATGCTTCCTTAGCTCTGCTCAGCCTTCCCCAGCTGCTTCCCTTCTCTGGCAGGGGGTGGGTGCCTTGCCCAGGGACTGCGACTGGCAGGTGGAGAAGGAGGAGCCTCAGCAAGCTGCAGACCTCCTCACCAGGCCCCCTCCCACCAATTCTGGGTTGCTGCTTGGGGAGGGGGAGGGAAGAGCCGCCTCATGCCAGGAAAGGCAATGCTGGGAGGGACTGGGGGGGGGGGGGCATCTGAGAGCCGCCACTCCTCCTTGGAAGGGCATCTGGCCCTCTTCCAAGGATGCCTTCCGAGGAGTCCAGGGCAGAGCAAAGCACTGGGGTTTGGATGGTTGAGGGTGGGGCTCTCTGGGGACCAGCCCCCTCTGCTCCTGGGGCCCAAATGAGAAGCTTGGAAACATCTGGGGCTCTTCCTGTCTGGCTTGGGGTGGGTGGGTGAGGGGAGGCACTTAAAGAGGGGAGAGAGGCTCACCAGGGCCAGAGTGGCAGGCCAGAGGGAGAAAGGACTTGCAGAGACAT